GTATGAAATTTTTGCATAATATCGTTACTTTGCTTTGGTTCTCAAGAAATTATCAAGCATCACCACCTTTTCAATTAAATGAATCCTACTAATATTCTAGTAGTAGTAGAGAAAAGGAAATAGCTTCACTTTGTCTCCAAAAGTGACAAGATTACGTGGTATTTTTTTATCACACCTGTGTTAAATTTTTAATTAAATGTGTTGTCAAGCCTCCAGCTAGCTAATCATAAGAGAACCCCTTCTTTAGGTGTATCCACGTCCACCTACTAAGTAGTGATTAGTCATTCTAGCTACTTACACATAGATTAATTCCCACATAATTAAGAATTATCTCAAATTAGTTAAAATACTACTCACTTTTAACATACTTTATACGACTTACTATCATGGTCATGTGGTACCTTGTATGGTATTAGTCCATAAATACCGGGTATTATAGTTTAGACCGTATTTTATCCCAAAATGCCAAACTTCGAGGAAACTCATTTTCTTCGATTTGCTTACCCAATCACCTTCACAAATTTACTTATCACTTGTTTGAAATAGCATAATGCTTATAATCTTAAATTAATCCGAATCCCGAACTTACGTCGATTAACTTACGATGAAACTTTAACGTATGAAAATGCGGGATGTAACATCTCATTTCCGAGCTTTCATCAATTTAGATATGGAGTACTTTCACGTATGAAAACATGGAGTTTAACATCATTCCCCCTTTTGGAAAATTCGTCCTCGAATGTTGACTGATGCACTTATTATTTTCATAATTTATGTCTTCCGAATAGTTTAGTACTCTCCTTGCCATCTAGGCAACTGTTCTGTGAATAAATCCAAAGGCCAGGGCATTCCCCCCTTTAGGCCTCTTTCTCACACCATGACTTGTGGTCGAAATCCTTCAAATCTCGTAACTGTTGCTACCTTCTGTCATGCAGCCTATACGACTTTGACCTTGTAAGTGCGCCTATGTGACTCTTCTCTCCTTTTTCCTTCAGCTCTTAGCCAATCTCTAGGCCTCACTTTGTAAACATATGCAGAGCTTGACAGGATGTCCCTCTGGGCATCTATAAGTATACTGAAGTTCTTTGCTCGGTACTTTGTTGAACTTACTAATATTGCTATATCTTGTTTCATAGACCCGGTTATCTATCTGCATGATTTTACTGCATCTAGGTAGGTTATACTATACCATAACTCTTACTTCGATTTATCGTTGCTGAGGTCTGCTACCAAATTCCAGCTTACTCTCGTTGCTTATCCCATATATATAAATCTATGCCCTTTAATACTTCCTCATCACTGTTCATCTTAAGAATTACGACCTAACCTCATCTCATACTTTGTGACTTTTGTACATACATTGTTGATTCACCTCAATATTGATCTGCAATATACCACTCATAACTTGAAACTTCTTACGTAAAACCTTGCCACTAGCGCTTACGTTGCATCGAGGAATATTTGAAGTGATTTTCCTGATCCACTCAGCGGCGATACTATACTTTGATAATCGTATTTTATAGCATCCCAATGTGATTCATTTACGTGGGTATTTTAATCCCGTAAAATTCATGAAATCTCTTCATATCATTACTCAATCAAAGGCCCAAACATCATCCTTTATCTTTCACAATTACACCCTCATTGTACTACCAGGGCAGCATTCCATCTCTTCTAAATGCTACTAGTCTTAGACTCCTTTGAGTTTATTCAGGTTATACTGAGGTTTAGAGAACCCATCAGCTCTGTTGTTTTCATGGGCTTAATTCCGAGAACTTATCCATTTTCATCACCTTTTCACTTACCTTTTCTTATCCTTACTCCTGTCTTCCTAAAGCCTTGTCGCTCTACCATACTTTAGCTTGCGTCCGATTTCCTTATGCTTTTCTGAAACATCAAGCGAGACATTACATCATCTCTGACTCTTCTTTACTCTCTTAACTAGACTTCTCGATAGCTAGAAACCATAGGTTGGAAGATATGCTACTGAAGACACCACTATCATTTATAGATACTATATCACGGCGCTTCTAGCCCTCTATCTGAAGTCTAGACTATTCACAACCTTCTACACTTGAGTATCTCGTACATTCTTTACCTTTACCTTTCTTACCTTTAAATCTTGCATTGTATCTTTTGTTGCTTTCATTACCTCCCTTCCACATTGGTGGAATTCACATCCACAACTTGAAGCTCTACTATAATACTTGCACCTCTGGTGCATACACAATCCGGTGGGAGCTCCATACTGACTTCTTATGAGGCCGGTACTCTTCTAACTGGCTTTAACGTAGAGCCATTATAGAATATGGCTACTGTGTTATCTCTCTTGTACCTATGATATCTAAGAGTAATCCTGCAATGTTCTCAATCACGAGGTCTAAAATTTTCTGGGTCCAATAATCAGATTTTTGATTTACTTTGTTGATGTAACTCTTTAGTTTCCTCCTCCTTCTGATCAGCCTTTATGTAGGCTTAAGCTATCTCTCGATCTACGGCTCATGGTATTAGTTATTACTTTTAGCCTTTCATGGGCGCTATGGAATATCCATGATACAATCTTTTAACAATTCAATCCTTTGCCTATGACCTGGACTCAATTTTTTCTTTTAACTTATACCGGAGTATTCAACGGTTGTATGATTGTCAACATGCATGAATAATACTTCGAACTCTTAAGTGTATTCATGACGTAACTAACTCTGGATCACTGATCAAATAATTCTTTTTGTTCCATCTCAGTGTTCTTTTAACGTAAGCTATTTCTTTTCCCGATCTTTTTTCCCCTTGTTGCGTGCATACTTAGCTTATCTTAGTTACCACGCATGCCGGGATTTTTGTGCAACTCATATGGTCTCGAATATCACTTTTGATTTTACTGCCCGTTCATTAGACACGGTAGGTGCCACTTTCTTATAGAGTGCGTACAATGTTGTTATGAGATTGTTTTCACTTGACCATTTCTCCTTCAAGTTACCATGTTTAGGTTGAAGCTTTCATTCTTATTTCCTCGGCTAGTCTTTCATTGTAGTACTTAGGGAGGACTCTCTGACTCTTGTAAAGCTACGAGATTATTACATCGTATTCCCGATAGAATTTTTGATTTTTGATGTTCGTACTCACCTATAACTATCCTTAGTTACTTACCTCCACACTCATGTGCTCGTACGGTTGTTTCTGAACTGAAGTTTTGACTGTCTTCCCAATGGTATTCTTGCTTATTTCCGTAATACTCATACGGTACCTTTAACTACCCCAACTCCTATCTGAATATTTCTCAAGGATTACAATATCATATTTGCGAGACTGAATTCCGCATGTTGGGGTTCATTATGTTCATCTTGCTTGATTTGTTGATTTATTTGTATCCTCTTGTCTAGCCATAACTAGGCTCTTCCTGAATCAACTACTAACTACTCATTGGCTTATTCTCATATCAATATTCCGCTTAATCTTTCTTGGGTTATTTCCTTTGTCTTAACTTACGTCTCCTACTGTCTCCTTATTTATCAATAATATCTCGGGCAGGAACCCTTACTTCCTCTTCTTGACATCGTGTTTGCATAATGTTCTAGAATCGTAGCATATCTGTAGGCTTTGAATAAGTGAAATCTCATCCCTTTCTCATTTTTATTGCATTCTTCCTTTATCATTCCATAATTAATAGAACCACTTAGTTCCGACTCAATGCCACATCACTCCATATTCCCCCCCTTAGGGGAGTACTAAGATCTAGCGCTACGACGATCTACCTATAGATGTTTTACCTTTTCATCTTTGGCATCTTCTCACATCATCGATGACCCTTACTCGCCTTGCGGTAATCCTTCTGTACCAAGGATAACAAATTTCCGTACTCGCGAGGGTGACACTTAGTGTAACTGGAACATACAGTCCCTTAAGCTTAACTTTTCTCACATTGCTTGCTTTAGGGAAGCGTCCTCTTGAATGACCTTTAAGGGTTATTCTTCAGTTTTCCATTCTATTATCGTCAGAACGCAATCTCTGAAGTTCTCATGATGCCGATCATTATCAAATTACTCAGCCCCTAATTCATGTTTAGTTTACCTTGTCACCAATCTATACTAATTTTTTATTACTTTGGGGTTTAACTTTTCCTTCTGGTAGTCGCGTTGGAGTCACGAACTTATTTCTTGAAATGAAGATACGACTTTATGGCCTATACACTTTTGTTGTCTCCAGACCTGGCACCTCTCATCTTTTCCTTCCTTTAACGATAGACTATGTAATACTGTGATCTTTTTGATCTACCGTTGTCATCCATGTATCATATATTACTCATAATGCTTCATTGACTCTCTTCTTATTTCGGATTACATTTATGTGTATGAGTTTATTGTGAAAACTTCAACAAGACATTCTTTTGCTCTTAGCTCCCCTTGCTCCATCCATTGGCTCTTCGAGTTGCCTAACATTCTCTCTCTACTAGGAACGGGAGCTATACTAAGATAATATTTATCCCTTCCAGGCTTCCAGTGCCTATCTTTGTAGTACTCATATCTATCTGTACTATTTTAGAGTGCACCATCTGGGTGTCTCACAAGGAGATCTATTAGCATATTTGCACTATCCTTCGGAAATGTCGACTAACGCAAATAATCCATTCACCATTTTGGGTTACTCTAACCCCAGCCAGATCCTGATATCATGTCCTTCTCTTATACTCCTTATGTTAACTTCCATAGGACATAAATGAGATGGGTGTAGCCATTTGTACGTACCTCTGTTATTGTTGAAGGTAACTCAAAAGGCTTATATTTTTTTTGGTAATTAACTTTATTCCACGTAAAAATATATACATGTATATCTCTAAGTTTGGACATTCGTCCCCAAACTTAGTAACAACTCTTCTTCAATGCCCACTCTAAGGATAATAGTTGAGCATTTGCATACTATTCCTCAAACCACCTTGCCTATCACCTATACAATGAATGTCTAACTATTTGTTTAGTAATCCCATCACTACTTCTCTTATTCTTCTAAAATATTCTTCTGTTTCTTTCCAGCCATAAGTGGTATACTGCTCCAGTCATGCCTAGTCTATACAATATAGTTTTAGTACCATTGCCTTTCATCTGTTCCGTTGCCCATTTGATCTCCTCATCCCAACTTTTTGGTTCATGATTGATGTTCATCCATTTAAGTATCCTGCTCCACACATTTTCAGAAAAAGAGCAAGTAAAGAAAATATGATTATGACTCTCCATCTCTTTCTCACACAGTGCACATTCTGGATTGACTTGCATTCCCCATTTCCTCAATCTATCCTTTGTATATAAACTCTCCTGTAATGCCAGGTACATTATAAACTTCCACTTTGGACAGCTTTTGTTATTGCACATCAGTCAACTCCAGCTTACCTTCAGGAAGTCCCCTCTTAATTGTTTATACATTCCTCTAATGGAGAATGAATTACTCTGCATTACCATTCCTGTGTCCAACCCTGCTTCATTCAAGTATTTCCCAGCTTGTAATATCTTCCTTATGATCCAAGAAGCTTTCTTTATATCAACTTCCCATGGCTCCCTTCCTTTTAAGTAGTATGCATGTACCCATTTGATCCACAGTTTATCCTTCTTCTTTACCAAGTTCCACAAATGTTTTAGAAGAGCTGCTCTATTCCATGTATTGAGGTCTGTGATATTCAGTCCTCCCTTTGTTTTAGGCTTGCACAGCTTGTTCCATGCAACTAAAGCCTTCCTGCTTGAGCTAGTTTCTCCAGTCCACAAGAATTTCCTGCATATGGCTTCAACCTGTTGGATGATTTTCTTTGGCAAAGGAAAAATCTGAGACCAGAATGACTGTATGGCAATGAGAACACTTTTGATCAGTTGTAACCTTCCTGCATAGCTCAGAAACTTCACTGTCCACTGTCTTATTCTCCCCAGCATTTTATCTAACAGTGGCTGGCATTGGCTTACTAATATCCTTTTAGTACTTAGTGGAACACCTAAGTACCTAAAAAGCAGTTCACCTGTGCTGAACCATGTATCTTGAGTGATTTCTTGTTGTACTGTCCTTGAAACTCCTCCAAAATAGATGTTGCTCTTGTTCTAGTTTGCCACTAAGCCTGAAGCCTTTGAGAAGCTGCTACAACACTCATACAATAGTTGCACAGACACCTTATCTCTTCTTCAGAAAAGAAGCAGATCATCAGCAAAACTGAGTTGGATAAGACTCAATTTTTCACATCTTGGGTGATAGTTGTAGTTAGGTTGTTCCTTTAAGCTCTTCAAACTTCTTGTCAGATAGTCCATTGCCAAGACAAATAGCAGTGGGGACATAGGATCTCCTTGTCTCACTCCTCTTCTTGCATCAAAAGGAGTAGTAGGACTGCCATTAATATTGATAGAATAGGACACTGTTTTGATACATTCCATAATCCATCCAACAAACTTTGCAGGAAAGCATAATCCATCAAGCACCTGCTCCAAAAAAACCCATTCAAGTGAATCATATGCTTTTTGCATGTCTATCTTGATCATGCATCTAGGTGTGATCCCTTTCCTCCCATAAACTTTTATCAGTTCATGACTTAGTAGTATATTATCCATCAGTCCTCTCCCAGGTACAAAAGCTACCTGGCTCTCATCCACCAGTGTGTTCATGACCATCCTTAGTCTCTTTGTCAACATTTTGGATATTATCTTGTACGGGGTAGTGCAGCAGGAAATTGGCCTGTATCTTTTATTGAGGTTGGGTTCTTCACTTTGGGAATAAGTGTAACTGATGTGCAATTTATTGGCTTGAACATTTTCCCAGTGCTAAAGAATTGCAGCACTGCCTTTGTTATCTCCTCCCCATTTATCTTCCATGTTCTCTTAAAAAACAGGCATTAAAACTATCTCCCCCAGGAGCCTTCATATCATCAATACTCTTAAGTGTTTCATATACATCCTCCTTTGTATAAGGAGCTATAAGTTCCAACCGTTGCTGCCTGCTTATCATTGGGCCATTTCTTATCCTCCCAGGATGTATGGCAGGCATACTTCCACATGTAGTACCCAGCAGATTCTTATAGAACTCAACCACTTCAGTTTTAATCTCTTGATAGTCAGTTAAGGTGTTACCCTTGCTATCAATGAGCTTATTGATTTGATTCTGGGCCTTCCTTCCTTTCCTACTTGCAAAGAAATAGGCATTGTTGTTGTCCCCCAGCTGAAGCCATTGTATTCTTGACTTCTGTTTGTAAATTGATTCCTCAATTTTATCCCATTTCTCCAGCTGCTGTATCATTTCTTTCTCCTCTGCAAATAGACTTGAAGGTGTACTATGATCCTTCATTCTTCCTTGTACCTCTAACAACCCTTCTCTGATACTGTTTACTTTCTGCATACATTAATGAACTCTTTGCTATTGAGTTGTTTCAGGCCTGTCTTGACACTCTTCAAATTCTGCCATATATCTTCCATTGTCCCTGCTTTCCTCTTCCAGTTATTTTCCACCAACTGCTCAAAATCTGGATGATCAGCCATACAATTATAGAACTTGAAAGGTCTTCTCTTATTATCACTCTTCATATCTATTTCAATGCCCAGGGGTGAAAGGTCTGAGAAGAGAGGGTTCATGATATATACTTGCCCAGGTAGCATGTTGAGCATCCATTTGTCATTAACCAGTGCTTTATCAATTCTGCTGAATACATGGCTATTGGTCCATGTATATGATCTGCCTACTGTAGGTAATTCATTCTAGCTGTAATCTTCAACTACTTCTCTAAAGTCCTTTGTTTCATTATCCTGCACCTCCCTGCCTTGTATTCTACCATCAGCTCCTAGGATTGAGTTAAAGTCTCCCATTAGTAACCATGGTTCCTTGATTTGCTTTTCTATGGATCTTATTGTGTCCCATAATGCTTTCCTATCATTAATACTATGCAGTCCATATACTGCAGAAAACTGAAACTCAGTTTTGCTAGTACTACTCTTTACAACCCCATGAATCATTTGTACATGACTGCCAGTCATTGTGAACTGCAATCTATTTGAATTCCAAATCACCCATATTCTCCCTTTACATGTGCTTGAAACATTATGGCACCATTTCCATCCAGGTAATGTTTTTGTAATTATCTTCTCAGCCTTTGATTCACTAACTCTATGTTCATAAATTGCTATAATCTCAACTTTATTTATCTTCACAAACTCCTTTAACTCCTTGAGCTTGAACACTTTATTAAACCCTATAACATTCCAAGTTACTAACATTGAGTAACTATGTTGTTTTTATTAACCAACCCTGCCTCCCCTCCTCTACTTGTGCTGCATTCTTCATTCCTTTTCCTAGTATGATCCTGGCTTGTCTCTCTTAAGCTGTTAAATCCATTAACTGTCTGTAATTGTTGTTCAGGTAGCAATGCTTTTTGCCCTTTTGCTGCTGACTTGCTTTTCACTTGTTGCCATTGTTCTTCACTTGCTTCTGTTTTGTCACTTCCTACTTCCTGCTTATTCACTATTGCTTTCCCTTCTTGCTGGTTTAGGTTTTGGCCTCCTGCTCATTTATTAACTGGTTTCCATTCTGTCTTTTGCTTTACTAGTGTTCTTTGCTGCTGTTGCCCATTCCTCATGTCTGGTATCCCTTTGTTCTGCTGCTGCTGCTGAAAATTATGTCCTATTCTCATACATTTTGCACAGTAGCTAGGCTTCCAATCATACCACAGTTCTTGTACCATTATTCTCCCTTTAGGATCTTTCACTTTAACACTTTTTGGGAGCTCTTTAGTGACATCTATCTCCACTAGAATTCTTGCATATGAAATCCTGTCAATGTTTGAAGTGCAAGCATCAGCATATATGGGCTGGCCTAGACCACTCCCAATTTTGCTCAGTGTCTTTGCACTCCAACAGCTCAATGGCAGATTTGGTAGCTTCACCCATATTGGTATATTCTTTAGATCTTCCTCATCAAAATCAAAGTTGGCAGTCCATTGTTTAACTACTATAGGTCTGTTGTTAATCATGTGAGGTCCGGAGTACATCACCAAATTCCTCTCCTCTAAACTTGCAAAGTTTACCATAAAATATCCCTCATTATGATAATAGACTTAGGTTTAACAGAGAAGCTCCCCTGTCTAGTAATGAATCTTTCCATAGCCCCAATTGTTGGTGTTCCCCCAATAACATACATAAAAACTGCATTTTTCCATTTTTCTACTTCACTATCAATGTCCTCCTGGCTCAGTTCAATAATTACTCCCTCCTCAGATATTGTAGGAGGTATATAACTCAGATCCATACCTTTCTTTGCAAATTTGTTCTCCTCAAAGAGCATCGACCAATTTCTTCCTGTTTTTTGTTCTATTTTTTGCTTCATTCCTAGCTGCAATTTCCTTTGAGCTCCGACATTCTGGATTTCTGCTTGTTTGGTGCCTCCTTCTTGTATCTGTACTCCTTCCTGCTGTTTGGCTTGTAGTTCCTCTTGGTTCCTTCCTTTTGAGCTTAGATCCTGTTGAGGATTGACCGGAGTTATCCATTTCACCTCCTGAGCTTTGTTTCCTCCACTTTGACTTGATAGCACTGGCCAGTTAGCTAGATCTGGTGATGCATGCGCTTTTCCTTTGTTGATTGTTGCTTCATCCATCGCTTTCCTTCCTTCAGAAGTGCTATTAGCATGTGTTCCATCCTTGAGCAATGGAACAGTAACATTTCCCTCATTCCCTGTAGCTTGTGGTGTAGCAATTTTCACAGATCCTGAGTTTCGTACTTCCATAGATCCATTTCCGTCATTCTCTTCAAGTTTCAAAGCTTTTGATGGTCGTCCTCGTGCTCTCCCCATGCCGGTGGGTGCACTTTAGCAAGTCACGCTAAAATGCGTCGAGAGAGAAGGAGAGAGAGAAGGTTTTAGGTGCTATTCTATATATATATTCTATAAAAAGAAAAGGCTTATATTCCTCTGCCTAAATTTGTAAATATTGATAATCTTCATTAACTGGGTGCCTCGTACCCTTCTTTATCTTGCTTATTTTACTTGTTGAAACTCGCATCTATCTTCTGAATCTCTCATTGCCTTTCACCATAGGGGTGGATAGATATTCTTGCCTTAAGGCTCCTTATTAAGAGGCTTACATGTCTTAGTACACACATGATCTACTGAAGACCTTACATTTATTCATCATAAACATCATGAAAAATCGAGTTCCTCTAACTCAAATCTTCCATAGCCACATGCAATCTCTTACCAACTATCTTTCTAGATGTAGGTATCGTCGTATTATGAATAAGATAGAGTTTAGGAAATTGAGTTCTTACAACTGAGCTCTACCACACGATCTAGAGTAAGAAGAAAGAGTGATAGTCCTAAATGCCCAGTAGCCTCCTGCTTATAAGTGTGGTGCACATCACACCCATAAACAAGACTCAACTAGACACGGCTTGTGGACTCCCTAGGACAGAACTACTCTGATACCACTTCTATCATGACACAAACCGAAGGGCCGCGACGGGCACCTGGTGCCTCACCTATCCTTACATACCAACTTGCGACTAAGGGACTCTGAACATATAATGTCATACTTTGGCCATGGGCAACGTTGCAAGACAATTTGCGAACGCTGACTAAACATCAATATAAAGCTGGGCCGACAAGGCTGTCATAACTACTACAGCTGGCAAACCAACAAAATATAGATACAAGGCCTACAAGCCCAACATACTGCTCTAACTGGCAGGATATGTCTACAAGCCTCTATCGATGGATGTACTGTGATCGGAACAGGGCCCCGACCTACCCATAACATATATATACCTATGTACATAAAATTTACATAAAACTCTAGACCCGGCAACTTCGAAGGACGTGGAGCTTACCGATCAAGTTGAACTTAGGCAACACCTACTGAGGAGGTCTACTCATCTGTTTGTCTGAACCTGCACGCATGAAATGCAGCGTCCCCGATAAAAGGGACGTTAGTACGAATAATGTACCGAGTATGTAAGTCAATAGAATAATTGAAAGCTGAAACAGAACTGATAATATAATAACTGAAAGCAACTGGGAGTCAAAGATAATCTAAAGATATGCTTACCTACTAATACTGACTCAACTCTCTCAATATAGTTAGTAAAATAGTTGTTCAGCCTTATAATGCTCGTTATATATATAACTGCTCTGTTGTAGTAGGCTCGCTCATAGGCATTCGTCCATACTAGGCTCTGCAACTCGGCCAACTGGGCTCGCTCATAGGCGCTCGGCCATAGTAGGCTCGGTATATAACTTACCAACTGATCAGAGGATGCCCAATAGGGGCCTGCCCACTGATTATAGCTCGATGGTGGTGAAAATACTGTAATACTCAATTGAATATAAAGTCTCCATAAGGGAGAATACTGTAACTTATGAGACTAGGATAATTTATATAAATTCGGGAGTATGAACTTCTCTTTATGCCTCGTTATCAAACTCATGTAATTACGGGATCATGCCAAAATGAAGGAAGGGCTTAGCCTTAACATACCTGAGTCGATTCTCTTGACAATCCCTCTAACAAACGTCAATTGCGATAAATCATGTAACGGCAGATCGAAGTAGGGAAAAAACCGTATGATATTCTTGAGAAAGATTGGACCATACTCCCTTAGAATGAAAAATCTCGTTGCTATTACGCGATATAATTTTGTATGAAATTTTTGCATAGTATCGTTACTTTGCTTTGCTGCTCAAGAAATTGTCAAGCATCATCCCCTTTTCAATTAAATGAATCCTACTAATATTCTAGTAGTAGTAAAGAAAAGGAAATGGCTTCTCTTGCATGATTACGTGGTATTTTTTTATCACACATGTGTTACATTTTTAATCAAATGTGTTGTCAAGCCTCCAGCTAGCTAATCATAAGAGAACCCCTTCTTTAGGTGTATCCACGTCCACCTACTATGTAGTGATTAGTCATTCTAGCTAGTTACACGTAGATTAATGCCCACACAATTAAGAATTATCTCAAATTACTTAAAATACTACTCACTTTAACATACTTTATACACCTTACTATCATGGTCATGTGGTACCTTGTATGGTATTAGTCCATAAATACCGGGTATTATAGCTTAGACCGTATTTATCCCAAAATGCCAAACTTCGATGAAACTCATTTTCTTCGATTTGCTTACCCTCTCACGTTCACGAATTTACTTATCACTTGTTTGATATAGCATAATGCTTATAATCTCAAAATAATCTCAATCTCGAACTTACGTCGATTAACTTACCACGAAACTTTAACGTACGAAAATGCGAGATGTAACATCTCATTTCCGAGCTTTCATAAATTACATATGGCGTACTTTCACGTACGAAAACATGGGGTGTAACAGTAACTTTAGAGACTCTTGAACTTTACTTTGAAATTCATGTGTTTTAGTTGACTTCGTAGTTTTAGATGTTATTTTTGTGTGTTTATTGCACGAGCGAGTTGTGTGATATTTTTAGACTTATGTGGATGTTTGGTTTGGATTCCCGAGGGCTCGGATGAGTTTCGGACATGTAACGGAATGGTTTTGGACTTAAGATGAACTGATGGTGTGTTGGTACTCAGTTATCGCAATTGCGAGCACCAGCCTCGCAATTGCGAAGGTGACAATAGGGGGGCAGTTGTCGCAAATACAACTCCCCCTTCACATTTGCGAAGACAACGGGATTTTTCTTGGTTTGCAATTTGCGATGATGGCTAGTTCGCAAATGCGATGCCTTTTCTCGCAATTGCGATTATGCATAAGGCTGTCCAAGTTCGTAAATGCGAGCCTTGGTCCGCAAATGCGAGGGGTTCACAAATGCGAACCCTGTATCGCAAATGCGACATCTGCAACTGGTTAAAGGGCTGGGAGACGGGATTTTTGAACACATTCTCTCGTATTGAACCCTAGACTCGGTAGGAGGAGATTTGGAGAGGGGATTTTCACATACAAATCTTGGGTAAGTGATTCTAATCTATTTCTAAACATATTCTATCAACATATCTTATAATTTAAAATCAAAATCATGTGAATCAAAGTGAAATTTTGTGAAACTTTGTTAAGATTTTGAAAAATAAGAAATTGAGTTTTGAGAGTCGATTCGGACTCGGATTTTGAAACTAATCACATATATGAACTCGTGGGATCATGGGCAGTCGGAATCTACCATTGGACCAGGGTATTGACTGGGCGGGCCCCGATTTGACTTTTCTTGACTATTGGGAAAAGCATAAAGATCTTAGCTTTATCAATTGCAATTGAATTCCCTAGCATTTTTTGATGATATTGAGTCGATTTTGGTTAGATTTGAGCCGTGTAAAGGCAAATTTTAAGGGAAAAGCTATTTCTGAGTGTTGAATTTGCCTAGTTGAGGTAAGTGTCTTGCCTAACTTTGTATTGGGGAACTATCCCTTAGGATTGGTATTGATTGATTCATTTATGCTATGTGAAAGTCGTGTACGCAAAGTGAGGAGTTGGGTACACGGGTTGTATGTGGTAATTGACCGGTTTAGGCTACTTAGACTATTTCCATGCTTTAATTGAATTGTAGTATCATGTTCTAAATTCTCTTAGTCAATCTATTCTTACTTGTGTTAGTCTAACCTTACATGCCTTAAATGATTTCGTTAATACTTGCTCTACATTCTAATTTATAAATTGCTCCCATGCTTAGTTGTACTTGCTACTTCTATTAATGTTACATGTTATCTCTCTCATTGTTGATTATCATTATTTGGAGTTATTGTTCATGTTATCCCTTCCCTTGTTGATTTCCATTATTTGAAGCCATTGCTATATGTTATCTCTTCCATTGTGAGTTATTCTTATTTAATATCATGGTTATATATTGTCTCTCATTGTCCTTATTGGTGTTGAAGTTGTGAAAGTCGTTATCACGTTGAGGCAAAATTGTTATTGTTGAAACATCTTCCTTGTTTAGCATTTTACGTTCATTGTTGTTGTTGATATTCTTGTACTGGTTGTGGTGGAGCCATGGGCTATTGTTGTGGAAAAA